GGGGGGGGGGGGGGTTTACAGAGATGTTGATGGCGAACTTTAAGGATTCAGTATTTTTTCTTATGCCTGGTGTTTGTAAGCTATAATGTATTATGATTGATGATATAAGTGGTTGTTTTGAATATCCTAGGGAATAAAAATCAATATTTAAAACCACAATATACGTATGCCAGTATACATGTGTTACATGTCACAGTATTTATAATGCACCATTTGTGATCTTCTGTTTACATTTTTTTTCTTACAGAGGAGACCTCCCATAAAAGTGAAAGATTTATTTGAAGATTTCAAAGATGGTACCTGTTTACTTTATTTGTTGGAGGTGTTGTCTGGAGAGAAAATGGTAGGTTGCTGGAACAAAGTGTGTGTGTGTGTGTGGGGGGGGGGAGCGAGAGGAAAAGGACACACAGCACACATTCCCTTCCTCCTTAAATTTTCACAAAAAGCAAAGTGATTGTGGAGAAAATCTTCATTTGTGCCCAAAATTCAATGAACATCATTTCCTGAAATGAAACAGCATGGAGCTGTCAGTGGGACTTAATTATTTTGATATGTGTCATAGCTAGAAGGAAATCATAGGTATTAATTAACCTGGAAGTGATCACATGCTTTGATGTTTTTAATATTATGTGGTTGTTGTCTGTTTCAGAAGTGTTATTTTGTGAAAGTGCATCTTTCTTTCTTTTTCTTTTTTTTATTTCTCTGGCATTAATTGAATTAAACTGGATGAAATTTAATTTAATTTAATTAATCAGATTAATAATTAATATGGCTAGCTCTTATTCAAGATGTATCAGGAGCAATCAGTAAAATGGAATACAGTACTATGTGTATAAATATCACTATGCAAACAATCAGTTTTCCCAGCACTTTACTTAGAACATGAACATTAATCAATTGTTTTCCAGGCAATTGAGAAAGGCAAGCATTGCAAGCGTCTGCATTTTCTCAGTAATGTCACCACAGCTCTCAAGTACTTGGAGTCCAGAAAGGTAAATATAATTATGATAATATCAGCAAATATGCTGCATTATATATTGAAACTAGATATTCATAAACCTGCGCAAAATAAGTTTTTGTTTCTCATTAGTAATATTCAGTGATTGTTACTTTCTTATATATTGGTTTGACAGTGTGGTTTTGATGTATCAAAAATGCCTGTACTCAAGAATTTAATAATTTAAAAATAATTTCTCTTTTCTAGATCAAGCTAGTAAACATAAACCCCACAGACAGACATAAATCTGTGCAAAATATGTTTTTGTTTCTCATTAGTAATATTCAGTAATTGTTACCTTCTTATATATTGGTTTGACAGTGTGGTTTTGATGTATCAAAAATACCTGTACTCAAGAATTTAATAATTTAAAAATCATTTCTCTTTTCTAGATCAAGCTAGTAAACATAAACCCCACAGACATAGTAGATGGCAAGCCGTCCATTGTATTGGGTCTTATGTGGACAATCATTCTTTATTTCCAAGTAAGTTTTTTTTTGTGAGATAGGATGTATGAAATTTAAAAAAATTATTATCCACTGTTAATATGCTGATTTATTCTGATATTCAAGAACATTTATTTTTCTTGGTGATTCTTTGTTAAGTGTGAGAAACTTTACTATGAAAAACATGACAACTGCAAAATTAATACAGATTAGTGTTTAAAAAAATGGATAATTAAAAAAAATTCAGATTGAAGAAAATGCCAAATTGCTGGAACAACTGGAGGCCAGTCTGGCAGACATGGATGGGGAGCCCCCAGAGAAAAAGATGTCTGCCAAAGACAGGTTTAAAATGGGTGCTAAGAAAGCTCTGCTGGTGTGGACGAAACACACTGTTGCCAAGTAAGCCATTTTACTTGATAAAATAATATGTATTAGAGCGCATTCTCAACGAATTAAGCCAGGCTTTACAAAGCCGGTGACCTAAAAATGGCGGACGTACATGAAAGAAAAACCGCCTAATCTTTTAATAGTCTCTCCGCCTCCCCACACGTCGTCCCTGCGGGGTACAGTAATTAAATCTCGGCTCCGTTCGCCATGCGGAAGCTACCTGAGAAATATTAAGTGCGCATGCTCATCAGTTA